CGCTGAAATCAGTCGCTGAAGGAGGTATATTTCCCAACAATATTTCCCAATTGGAACAGCAAACTCACAACAGAATGAACCCCCGTCTCAAAAATCGATAACAAAATTCTCTTATTTCCTGAAAAATTACATATATTGATTACATGTACAAATGGTAATAATTAATATTTATAATGAAAAAATTCTTACGATCTATTTCAGTGTGATTAGGGGGTAACAATGGTTGAATAGTACTAAAAGACGTTTTAGACTTCTGAAATAAGATGACAATTGATTATTAATGAAAGTCACTAATGTTTTATATAAAAATTATTCTTTGTTTAACTTTTGAAAATAGATTCACAACACGCGAAGCTTTTGTTTATGACTCCGTCAAAGAGGACAAAGAAGTTAAAGACAACTTTACAACGGAGACGTATTGTTAATGGTTGACAAATATAAGATAAGAGTGTTTCGAAAGGGAGACTTCCATACAATCCAAAGAAAAGGATTCTACAGTCCTCTTTCCCTGGTTGGTATTAAAATCATACCTGTGAAAGGATTATTATAAAATTATTATAATTAACATTCAGGGCACTAATTACTCAACTGGAGGGATGGTAATTAACACGGAAGACAGTGTCCTGAGTGTTAAATACCATCCCTCCTATGGAGTAATTGGTGTCCCAATTGTTAGTTACCATCCCTCCGATGGAGAAATTATAGTCATGAGTGTTTCTAATAATCCCTCCAATAGAGTAATTAGTGTCCTGAGTGTTAATTACCATCACTCCGATGGAGTAATTAGTGTCTTGTGTGTTAATTAGCATCCCTCTGCTAAAGTAAATAGTATCCGTAGAGCTAATTACCATCCCTCAGTTGGGGTAATTAGTGTTCTGAGAATTAATTACTATCTATTATGTGGGGTGATTATTGTTCTGAGTGTTAATTCATCCCTCTGGTGAAGTAATTAGTGTTCTGAGTGTAAATTACCAGCCCTCTGATGGAGTAATTAGTGTTGAATAAGAAAAAACATTCCCTCTGGTGAAAACAAATTCCCTCTGGTGGCCTCCGTTCCAGCAGAGGGGACCCAATATGCTGCTGCAAACTTCAATCTCTTGTTAAAAGATAAGGTTGCTGTCTATATGTTTATAAAAAGGGTGTATTGAACAAGATTATAGGCAGACTTTTACAATCTTCAGAGCAAGTAACAAGTAAGGAATTAAAACTATTCAAACAATTAATTAATTTTAAATTGTCCTTCGAGTATTACACAGTTAAAGAATAAATAGTAACAATACCAAAAAGGCAATATTCTGAACTATTTGTAATTATATTTCATCTTTTTTATCTCAGGTCTTCATCAAACTAAATGGAACCCATAAGCCATAATGGACAGGAACCCGAAAGCATAAGCCATAATGGACTGAAAAAGATTCTTGTGATTGGTAAGACAGGAACTGGGAAGAGTTCTCTCTGCAATGTACTCGCAGGAAAGGAGTGTAATGCTGATTATTTTCCAACTTCCTCAGATCCTACATCCTGTACCCAGGAAACTAAGTTTGCTAATGTATTCTTAAATGGAGACAAAAATAAACCAGTCTCCCTCATAGATACCATAGGGTTTGATGATCCTACAAAAGATCATGATGCTACAATTATAGCTGAACTTGCAGTCAAGCTGAATACCAGATGTGATTATGTCAATCTGTTTGTCCTTGCAGTTAATGGACAGAACCCAAGACTAGATGGATCCCTGCTGACAATGATCAGGATATTGGAAGGAATGTTTTCCAAAGACTTTTGGAATCAGATCGTTCTTGTTTTTACTCGCATGCCGATGAGTCTGAGAGATAAGGAAAGGAGAGAAAAAATTAACAGGAAAACAGATGCTCAACTTGCAGCAGACTTCATAAAGGTTGTGGAGGAACAGTTTAGGGATTGCAGCGGACTACGCTATCTTTACATGGATGCAACTTATGAAAAATATGATGATGATGAGGAAGCTGCATTTAATTCTGCTTGTTTTAAGCTTAATGAAATGTTAGAAGAGTTACCTGGGCTCCCGACAGAGAATGTAAAGAAGGTTGAAACAGACAATGTACTTTTGCAACAAAAAATTAAAGAAAAGGAAAAGGAAATGATGAAAAAGGGTGAGGTCGTTGGTATGGTTGTTGGCGCGGCAGTTGGTGCACTGCTACTGGCATTTCTGTTGGGGCCAATGTTGGGGGCACTGTAGGGGAACTGGTTGCTAAAATTGAACTTAAGAGGCCAGGCAAGTTGAACTTATATTATAGCATGCATTGAATGGGAAAATACGGGTTTTTAATATAAATATAATGCCTAAAAATATATGATTTAGTCCTATTTTGGTTAATTTTTAGAAATCTTTGATCTATTAATTGATTGATTATCGTTTATTTCTTTATGCCTTATTACTGGCACCTTAAATATAATTCTTTGATTCTATTAATTGGTTTTAATTAGGCGGTTTCAATGCTAAACACTTTAACAATAAATAAAACTCATTTGCAACAGCTCTTTAATTTTAGGAAAAAAACATATTTTCTATACTTGTCTTAGGATTCCAATATCTTTTTTACCTTAGGTCCCAATGAAGAAAATCTGGAAAAGGATACAGACAAAGAATCAACCAAACCGGTTTTTCCGACGAAATTACAGGTTTTGATTTATGTTTCTGTTACCAATCTAAAAATAGATTCTAGCATATATCATCTGCCTCAAATTGTTATAATTATTTTTCATTGTTTTTCTGTAAAATATTATTATTTCAAAGTCTTCTGCAATCAGTTCATCTTCCCTAGTGTTTTAATCATTTCATAGAGATGATCGCTTCACGTACGAGAGTGCTAGAGCGTCGGGAAACCCGTGAGTCGCAGGGTGCAATTTAAACTGCTCTTAAGTCAACGTTTTGATTTTTCTAGATTTTAGCTTTCGTTTCGATAGTGTTCATCAAAAGTATAAACGTTTAAAACGTTACTTTGCACATTATCAAATTTAATAGCATAGAGTAACGTTACGTAATGAATTTTCTGCACTTGAATATCTTATACAACGTTAGCTTTAGTGAATTTTAGTGAAAAAAGTAAGCTCCGTTACGCTTTTGCATTTCCAGTTTTAAAAAACTTAGCTTTTCCAATATAAACTCTTCTAATTACGTTTAGAAAATTAACTAAAATGCAATTTTTGTTACGTTACGATTTATCGAAACGTTATTGTGAAAACTTTTTTGTCACACTTTTTTACAACTGGCAATCAAAACTATTTATTCTGATCGTTTCTAAGAAAGATTTGAAAAAATGGTCTATACGCTGCGTTGTATTAAAATATTCAGGCCTTAAAGTTTCTTATGTTACACTTTATTAAAAAAAAATATTGTTTCTTAATGAAAGCATTACAAGATTTTTTCCGTGATAATTACATTCCTACTTTAGTATTTTTCATCCTAAAAACATAAACCATGCAAAAAAAAATTGTGTTCTTAATCCCTTTTTTACTCACCCTGTATGTTGCCGTTGAATTGGTAACCTTTTTAGAGAATGTGTAGAAGAATATGCAATATAAAGATGTTATAATATTATTATTTTTAACGGTTTTTAAAATTTGAGAATACAAGTTTTTAGCATTAGACTTTCAACTCAAGGGTGTGTCTTAAAGGGACTTGAGACGTAATTTCAAGTGACCTTCCATTTATGGAGTGGCATGTCACAGTCCAGCATACATTTAGAAGATAGGAAAACGCTGGTATTTTCAAATCATCAATTAGATAAAGGTATACACGTTACCATTGGGAATCGAGCATGGTCCTCTTTAAATGGAGGATCACTTGAAATTATCATCGTGTATTTGACGAGCTTAAAAAATATACATGTTTTAAGACACTTCATAAAATGAATTAAAATTCGGCAAGGCAAACCACTTTTGCAAAGATGTAGAGATTAGAAAATAATAATTTGTGGCGAATTTTTAGTTCTTTTTGTGTTTTTTTTTATGTTACTTACAAAGTGATTAAAAAAGCGGCATTAGCTTTAGTTTACAAACTATACAGTTTCCACCACGAAGAAGAAGATAAAGTTTCCACCAAGAAGAAGAAGATAAAGTTTCCACCACGAAGAAGAAGATAAAGTTTCCACCACGAAGAAGAAGATAAAGTTTCCACCACGAAGAAGAGGATAAAGTTTCCACCAAGAAGAAGAAGATACAGTTTCCACCACGAAAAAGAAGATAAAGTTTCCATCACGGAGATCTGGTTCACATCACTAAGAAGCAGATAAAGTTTAAATCACGAGGTCACATTAAAGTTTTTGCATTTTTGATTCCAACACTGGATTTTAACATCACTGGATTCCATCAGTCATCAGAAGACCAACATTTTTGATTCCAACAGCCTTAACGTCACTGGATTCCATCAGTCATCAGAAGACCTCAGTTCCAATAATCACTACGAGATTTGGAATCCCGGAATCAACACGATATTTACACTACCGAGCGTACGTCCGTTCGTCCGTCTTATATTCGTAACGTAAACAACTGTTCCAGAAGTTAATCCTGCAGAGAAGTACTGTTCCAGATTCTTAAATAACTGTTCCAGAAGATTTCCCGAGATAAAGATTACTATTACAGCCTACCAAGAAACACAGTTCTGTTCCAGAAGAAACTATTACAGTCTACCGAGAAACACATTTCTGTTCCAGAAGAAGAAGAAGTACATTGCTAAAGTACTGTTCCAGAAATAACTGTTCGGGAAGGCAGAACTATCGTTAACGAATTACGTACCGTACCGATAACTAACACCGCATACCGTATGCAAAACGTATTGTTCATAATATAATTGCTGTAGTTGCCGTTAACAGCATAAAAAACAACCTGTTACAAGAGTTCCTGTGTTCCAGAAGCAAAATCAGATTGTTCCGGAGTATCGTCCAACATGGTGACTACGCCATCCCTTGGACTACTGTTCCAATGTTAAAGGAAGTAAATAACCAACTTGTTCCAATGTTACAGAAGTAAAACTACTAGAGGGTTCCTGAAACTGAGATACTACTCCAGAAACCGGAACATATATATTATGAACAACGATAACGTTTAATTGACTAACACCTATTACATAACTCCGCATTAACAAATGCAAAACTATTAGCTCCGCATGAAAGTGCACCCTATTAAATCCGTCTTTTTGAGTAATTGAAAATTTCAAACTTTTATTACTTGATACTTTTGGCCGGGAAGATTGCCTAATCTCTTTTTAATATATTCTAATCTCTTTTTGATATATTCTAATCTCTTTTTGATATATCTACTTTAACGAAAAAAGGCTATGTCTGAGTTTTAAGTTTATAGATTGATTTTCTGTAAAAAATATAAAATTTTGAGTTCAAGTTAAAAGAGGATTTTTGAGAAAATACAGATAAATGTTAAAATAAGTCTTAAAGATTCACATAGAGAAACTGGAATTTTTTTAACTTAAAAAGAATATTAACTTTGGAATTAAATTATTCTGTTATTTTAACCAAAATTCAATGAATTAAGCCTATAAATTAAAAGTCTTGAGAGAAAAAGCCATTAAATATAGTTTATTAAAATTACAAGTTGTGAACAAAGATATTTTGATATTTAAATTCAAGATCTATTTTATTCGAGAAAAATCTGCATTTTATAGATTCATTTTTGCATCTTTTCTGTATTGAGCGTTTTTCGATACCCACTTTTGAATCCAGATATTCTATATTTTAATTGAAAACTTATTTTCTGCGGAAAATCTAAAATTTGAAAATTAATTTCTACATACTTTTTAAATTCAAAAAGAGTTACTAACTTTTGAATCCAGATATTCTAATATTTAAATTCAAAAAAAATATTTTTGAAGATTTCTTTTTGCAAGCTTCTTTGCTATGGAGCAAAACAGTTACTAACTTTTGAATCCAGATATTCTAATATTTAAATTCAAAAACATATTTTTAAAGAAAAATCTAAAATTTTGAAGATTTCTTTTTGCAAACTTCTTTTCTATTGAGCAAAAGAGATACAAACTTTTAAATCCGGATATTCTGATACTTAAATTCAAAAATATATTTTTGAAAGAAAATCTAAATTTTAGAGATTTCTTTTTGCAAATTTTTTATTCTATTGAGCAAAAGATATACAGACTTTTGAATCCAGACATACTGATATTTAAAATCAAAAATCTAATTTTGGAAAAAACTAAATTGTATAAACTCAATTTAAAATCTTTTTTCTGTCGATCCAAGAAAAAAAACAAGTTTTTGATATAAATTCCTTTGACTTTAATTAGAAAACGCCTGTATACTGGAATCATTTCTTTGTAAAAAACGTAAAATCCTAATTTTGGTTTTTCATTTTGAATTTTTATCTTTCCTTGAAATATCTGGAATATAAAATAAAAATATAAATCAAAATTTTTATTTCAAGTCTAGATTCAAAAATTAATATTTGAAGACTAAATATCTGGATTTAGAACGAAATAGAAATTCTTTAAATATTTCTTATTATTTTGGAAAAAGCTAAATATCTATAAGCAAACTTAAAAATTTTTGAAAAAAATCAATAACAGGAAAATCTGGATCGAAAAAAAAAAAAACTTATCTTCCTGGAATTCTTTAATTTGAGAGAATAAGATTGAAAAAGCAAACTTCTCATTTTTAATATTATCAATTTTGAAAATATCAAAGAGAAAAGAATCCGGTTTAATATTACAGTCTGAATTCTTTGCCACTCTGATAATTTTGACCCCTACAAAATTTCTTGGAAAATTATCCTTTAAAGATTTGACGAATTGAAACTTATCTTTAATTTAATCATTGTAAAACTAAACAAAGAAAAGAATTATATAAGAAAAAAAAAAAAGCAATAAAACGTAAAACAAAAGAAAAAGAATAAAATACGTACATTTACAATTTAAGTAGTAGTAAAAGAAAACAAAAGAAAAAAAATTTTAAAAAAATAAAAAAAGAAGAAAAACATGCAGTAGTTATCTACGATAAAATTTTATNGAGAGAAAATTTTGAATCTTGGAGTCTAAATTAATTAATTTTCATTGACAATTCAGACTGATAAGTTCTAAAATCAGAATTAAAAAATCTCTTTGAATGATATTCAAACTTGCTAACTTTAAACTGGAAATTTGCTACAAATCCGAGCGAAACCTTCATGTTTTCTGAGAACTAATTAAAAATCAAGAAACACCTTTAATTATTCCATTCTCTATAAAATTGGAATAAATTTTGGTTGACCCATTTTTTGAAATTAAGATATTAAGGTCCACATTAAATCCAAAATATAACACTAAGTTCCTTTTATTCTCCGAAATCTAGAACTTGATATCAAACAAAATTTTAAAATAGGCTAATTTTCAAAATATATTTTGAATATTTATTTCTGGAAACGTAAATTTTATTATAAAACTTTGAGGATAAATATCAAATTAGATATAAATATCTTTAATCTTAAATCTGAGATAATTGTTTACTTTTGATGAAATCAAGTTAAATAAACAGTGAATTAACTATTTTTACACTGAGATATTTAAAAAGTTAAATATTTTAATTTTAAAAACCTTAATTCTTAGAAATCTATTCTAATAGTATCAAAAGATTCTTTAAAAACAATTGAGGTCATTCATAAAAACTATTGGAATAACACAAATTTAAAAAGAATAGCTTTATTTGATTAAATCCAGAAATAAATAAAATCATATTAAAACGCCCGGTGTCTGGGTCACCCTGTAATCATATTTAATAATCTAATTAAATATATTGAGGAAAACTGAAGTCTGAAATAATATCATAATCTAAACACATATGGGCCTTTGCAAATTATTATTGATTAAGAAAACAAATTGAGAAACATTAAAATCTGAGATATATCATAATCTAAACACATATGGGCCTGTGCAAATTATTTTGCAAAACCGGATAATGCAAATTAAATCTGGAAATTTTTAAACTCAAATTAAAATAACATCAGAACCTGTCTACCCTGAACCGGATTAATGCAAATTAATTATGGAAATATTTATTATAAAATGATATCATAATCCTGACACATATGGCAAATAATATTTGCATAATCTGATAACTTGCTGAGCTGGTGCACAAGACATTGCCCTCATGCAAACCTAAACATTAAACATAAATATTTTGATAAAACTTGCTGAACTGGTGCAAAATACATTGCCCTCATGCAAACTTGAAACATAAATAAACAATTTGTAAATTCTGTTTAGAGAAAAATAAAAATACAAAAACATTGTAAATTATTTATCGTTCTGTGAAGAAAGAAGGGGGATATATCTAAATAACATATAACTCTAGATAATATTTGTTACAGAGGAAATGACCTGTAGCAGAATGGATTAATGGAATTATGGACCCTGGATATATGGAGGACATACATTAACCAAGGTACAACACATTGAATAAAATAATTCTATACCAGGTGGAACGACTGGTAGCAGCATGGATTAATGGACATATGGATATTGGAAATATGGAGAACATACATTAACCAAGGTACAACACATTGAATAAAATAATTCTATACCAGGTGGACAACTGATAGCAGTATGGATTAATGAAATTATGGTTAAAAATTTATGGAGAACATGAATTAACCGAGGTAAATTTACTTAAATATTTCATGCCTAGCTATTGTGTACGGCATTTATTTTATTTTAACAACGACGACAAGTACACTTTTGTTGGATAAGTTTAATCCATGATTTAAATAGCGGGACACATATCCAGTCTATAATATAAACAGTATACCGGAAGAAAAGAATCCGGTAATCAAGGATATCAAAGCGTCGGATTATCTAAGTTCAAAACTAAAATATTCAGTTTCGAAATTATAAGGATATCCAAGTGGAATATCACCATATACAAGGAATTATAAGAATATCCGAGTGGAATATAACCAGATACATAAGATTAAAAATCCACACTATCTGAATGGTATAAGGACACCAGGTTACTAGTGTCCCAGATTGATAATTTAGAATACAGTAATCCTGGATATAAATATACCAGGTTAGGGAATATTAAAACATTGGATACCACAAGATTATCAATTTAATAAATATTGTGTTGTTCTAAAATATACAATAAAGAACAAATTATTTGTTCGTTAAATTGTTATTATCCAAACTGTCTAAATAAATATTAGAATACAGGAATACAAGAACAGAAGGATACAAGGATACAAGGATACAAGAATACAGGAATACAAGATACAAGGATACAAGGATACCAGAATACAGGATTACAGGAATACTAGAATACAAGAATACAGGAATACAAGAATACAAGAATACAAGGATACAAGAATACTAGAAAAAAAGAATACAAGATTATGTAAAACCTAAGACTTCTTTAGTTAGGAAACCTCCAAAAATTAAAAGATACAAAATAAAAATCTCAATTCAGAACTACAAAATAAACCTTCAACAATAAATTGAAATTTAACTAAATCTATATCTAGACTGTATGGATAGAATTCAAGCTGAAGGAACCTGGTAAATCTTTGAAAACCTGAAAACCTTCTAAAACTAGAATCTCTTGAAACCTTCAAGGATATCAGTAGTTCAACTGAACATCAAAGGTACAATTGAAAACACATTGTAAAGCATAAAATTGAGATTAATTATAAATGGTTCAGAAGTCTGAGGATTTCTGAATACAAAGAGAACTGAGCGGGTTCAAGCTAAGAAAACCTCCTAGCTCATGGAAGGAGAGAGCGGGTCTTAAACCTTAATAAGATCTCCTAGCTCAACTCTTCACCCAGTTAAATCTTAAAAGGTAGAAATCTTTACAAAATATTTCTGAATTATCTTTAAAGTACAAACCCTCAAATAAACAAACTGTCCATTTAGAAGCTGAGTGGTTTAGTATACCTGGAGACATTACTGCACATGCTCTGGGGAAATAGCAGAGCAACTACAGGTTAGCTGAAAACATTGGAATTACAAGATCAGCTATTTAAAGTTGAAATAAAACCTAATCTAATCTTGTTTCTATACAGGGTAACGTAACCAGACAAGATTAACCTGAGGAAGGACCTCCACTACAGCATCCTTTTAATGGATAAAAGGTGAGCTAGTTCACAATTATGCAACAAGTTGATCAATTGATTGTATTAAATTAATTTCGGGAAAATTATCAATTGAACTTGTCTTGTTAAGGCGAGAACCTGTGGAACCTCCCCTAACTTATCTTGGTGCAGAATAGTCCAGAAGCTAACTATAACCCAGATAAATAAACTAAACCTAAGAAAACTAATGAAACTCGGAGACACATGACCAAATTTTTCGCCGCCTGATGAAGAAATAAATGATGAAAAGAAATTAGATCTTAGAAAATGATTTAAAAACTGAAGAAAAAAAAATTGATTAACATTGATCTTTTTCTCAAAAAGTACATAATTGTAATTATTGTAAAATACATTTTGACTGTGTATATTTCATGTATATATATGAACTATAATTTTCCATCTATATGTTTGATAAATGAATGATAATATATTTGCTTTTAAATGCAAGATGATGAATACATAAATAATAATAAAAAATCTCAATTATTTTTGAGACAGTTTCTAGTTTGATTTGATTTTACCACTAGCATACTTGTTCTTATCTGTAGCCCTTTGCATGTACATTTTAGTGCTATAACTTGTTAGCTGGGTTCTTAAGAAGTAATTGGCAAAATTCTGATGAATTTTTGCTTAATATCTTAAGACCAGTGGTATATTTGGACTCAAGTTTTGAAAAAATAATTGGCAAAAACGAAAAAATTTGTCGTAAAACAGTAAAGTTTTGGTGTGCAGCACTTAAGAACAT